GGGCTTTGGACAAGGGATGTAGGGACAGCACAAGGGGAATGGTTTTAACCTGCCAGAGCGGAGACTGGGATGAGCTCTGAGGCAGAAGATCTTCCCTGTGAGGGTGCTGAGGCGCTGGCACAGGGTGCCCAGAGAAGCTGTGGCTGCCCCATCCCTGGCAGTGTTCAAGGCCAGGTTGGACACAGGGCTTGGAGCAACCTGCTCTAGTGGAAGGTGTCCCTGCCCGGGGCAGGGGTTGGAGCTGGAGGAGCTTTAAGGTCCCTTCCAACACAAACCAGGCTGGGGTTCTGGGGTTCCTTGAGTACAAATTAGCATTCCACAAAAAGGAACACCACAGATGCCAATCTGCAATGCAAGGTCCCGGTCCCACACAGCTTCCAGTGGCAGAGGAGCTAAAGTAAGTTGCAAAGCGAGTGATTATCATGACGTTGTGCATCATGCAATTCTTCCTCCAGGTTTTTCCTGCTACCCTGACAACACTGTGTTACCCTTCACCTTGTTTTCCATGTCTAGGGAGAAAGAGAGAAACCTATGGCTTATACCCACCCCAGCACAAGTTGCTCCAGGCCAGGTCACACAGCCAGTGCTCTGCAGTACAACACATTCCAGCTGCCTCCTCCAAAGCACCAGCCAGTCCCTCTGTCCCCAGGGAGCCTGCCAAATCTGCAGTTTATCTCCCCAGTGCCTGGGGCTGACAGCAGGAAACCCACTGACTCACTCACTGCCCCCCAGCAACAGAAACACGAAAGTGCAGCTCATTATTAGGAGTAGTCAAAGATCTTCCAGCAAAACAGATGCTCCCCTCCCTGCCAAAAGTGGAAACGATGGGATTGAAGTTTCACCATAGCTCTCAAAGAAGCAGGAGGCTTTTTTGCCTGTGCTCCAAGCACAGGCAGCAAGGCTGAGCAGCAGCGAGGGTTAGATGTCAACAAGCTGCTGTGACTAACATTTTCCCCTCAACCCCACTCGGCTCCAGCCTGGTGGGTCCCACGGCCCTTTTCTCTAGGAAAATTTCTTACTTCAGTCCTAAAGCCATTTCTATTCCACACGAGAATGTCCTCTTCCCTTTTATTGTTGGAAATTGAAACTTGGAATTGAAATGGCAATAAATCACAAAGTAGCACGAGCCTCGCCTGCATGGGGAGTCACCCGCAGCGAAAGGCACCCCAGGCACTAAGTCCAGTCAATGGGAATAACCAGCTCAGCCAGCCCGCGCCGCCCAGCGCGCCCAGGATCCAGCAGCCCTCTGGACAACAACAAGTACAACAAACAGAAACAAACCAGTAGCCCAGGAGGGTCAGGAGCTGCACACGCACACAGCCTTGCCAAAGACAACCCAAGGCCTTGATGAGTATTCTTAGAGCCGAGGGCCCATGCTGTGCTCTCCATTCTCTGCACAAGCTTGCAGATGTTCCCAGCGTGTGCCTCCAGCTTCGCGGGGAGCAAGGGCCTTTCACAACCTCCCACCCTCCAACTCTCGGTATGTGCAACCCCTCAGGGTGCTTGTCAGCGAGGGAATTGTGTCAGTGAAGGACTCCAGTCATCAGCATTCAGCCCAGCTTCCCAGCAAAGTGGCTTCAGGAACCACAGAGGACATCCCACATATAGGGACCAGATTCCCACCCTCTGTTGGCTTTGTGCAGCCTAAAAGAGTCACATTATTACTCAGTGCTTTTGGTTTCCCTTGCTGGACAGAGCCAAAGCAATTCCTTACCTGGTGCTTTTCCCTCCTTGAGCTCGCCTCATCCATCCAGATTTGCATCAGGGATTTTCCTCAAGCGCTGGCTCCCAGTGTCCCTCGACTGTCTCCATCTACAGAGTTAAACCCTGTAAGAAAGGACACAGACATAGCCCTCGAACTCCAGCTCTCCTGCAGCTGCTCCAGCAGCCTCTAAACCTCACCCAGTTGTTTCACCAAGAGGCAAGCTCCCTGCCAGTTACACCACAGCCCTCCCAAAGTGCTGTTACCTGGTACCAACCACAGCCCTCAAATGAGGGTCTGCCCAGTGCTCCAGAAAGCCCAGGGAGGGGAGCTCCTGTCCTGAGCAGTCCAAGAGCTTTGTCAGCCCATAACTTCACGACAGCACCCAGTTTTCTTTCTGATGGTGTCCCACCAGTCAGCGGTAGCAGGATCTAGACTAAATACACGGCTTGAAAAACAAGACTCCACTTAAGTCACTTCATTCACTGATGATGGTGATTTAGGTTCTGATGAAATGAGTGGTCAAAGCAAGGGAAGGTCACCAGATTTAGCTATAACCTATACCAAAGGTTTCTGGTTTCGATAGTCTGATATTAAATATTTTTACAAGATAATGATGTCTGCATAGCCCTTGGACAGCCTAAAGCATAAGATGTTCCAGATACACTTGTGAAAAGCATTACCTGTTGTGTCCCTTCGGGTAGATTTACATCAGATATTAGGAAGAAATTATTCACTTCAAATTTGTTCTAGTGGGAAAAATCTCATACATATTAGAAACATGACACCGATTCACAAGTCGTATTTCTTTGATGGCAGCAAAGCAGAGCTGATTGGGCTGTTATCTGTGAAGCCCAGAAAATAGCACCTTGCTGTTATTTAAATGAATTACACAGATCCAGGCAGCGACATTCCACTGCCAAGGGAGGGCCGTTCCCTGGGATCCAAGGCTCCAGGAACTTGCTTGTCACCCCAGGCCTGTGGCACAATAGTAAGTTTTGCAACAGATCCTTGAAAGTTCTTGGGAAAGTTCAGAGCTGGTGTTTGGTTTGGGGGTTGTTTTGGTTCTTTGAAGGTAAGTTTACATGTTTGAAAGGAAGGGAATTGTTCCTGCCTGCAGGGCTGTGCCCTCTCTCAAAGGCAGAGCTGCCTTTTCCACCAGCAAACCCAACCGTAGAACCCAGTGGCCACCAGTAACACGAGGGGCAAGGACAAACTTGGCAAAAGCCTTTACGAAGCAGATTAAAGAAGAGCATTTAACATTAATGAGCTGCAATAAATTCATCAGGAGCCAGAGGGAAGACATTTTACTGCAAGAACTTTATTGCACTACGCTCAAGTGCTGAACCAAGTCTGTGCTACTGGACACTGGTCACAGTTACACCCCTCTTTGTGTCTACACTCTATGACAGTCTGCACTTTCCACTATTTTTTCTCAATTAAGGCTGCAGAATCATAGTATAAGATACTTAGTATGTTAAAAATCAAGAGTAAAACTAGGGGGAAGAATGCAAAGTTATACATATAGCATGTAAAAATTGATTTTATTGTTCTTCAGAAGGGCTTGGGGTTTGGTTTTTAATCCAGCTCACCACCTTCCCCTCCAACCTGACTTCCACCATCTGCCAACACAGTGCTAACTACCAGTACTTCATTTTACCAAAAACATCCATTTTACTTTGCAGAAACAGTTAGAACATTAGGTTTCTAGTTTGCAAGGGGAGGGTAAAGCCCATTTCAGCATCATCTACCCTCCACGTGGACTCAAACACAACCAGATACGTTATTTCCCTAATGAAGGCATCGACATCACAAACACTTTTGTGTCTCCTTTATCTATTAATCAGAAACGTTACACATCTTAAAAGGGAGGAAGGAACTCGGTACACCAACCACAGCTTGAGTCAGGGTCAGAGCAAGCTCTGTGGAGCGTGTTTTCTAGCCATGGACCTCAAACAGGTCTGTTGGCAGCTCTGTGAAGGGAGGGGCTTCACAAATACCATTATTTTTAGCTCTAATTTATAAATCCAGGAATAGAATTCTAAAAGGCCATCACCTGTCTTCTGAAAACATTTGCCCACTTAAGCTGCAGACTAAAAGCAGAAGTCTGGAACAGGAAGAAATCCTGTGAAGCAGCTCACATCGCCAATGGCTGAAGCATAGGTAGAGACAGACAGGTATCAATCTACAACTACCACAGATCCAGACCAACAAGAGCTTTTGGTGCTCCACAGCAGAAGAGTAGGACACTAAACCTGTATTCAGAGCCCTCAATGGCTCAATATTACAGATATAATGTCAAGTTCAAAGCATATGAGGTCACTTCTGGGGCAGGGCACTAAGTTAACATGTTTGGTAGAAGTAGCCTGGCTGAAACTGCTTATTAGAGACTGTAACATGACTTGTCTTGATTAATTCACTGACACCACCAATGGCCTACGAAGGGAACATGGTGCCAGTTCACACTCTGAAAATGAGCGTGGTTCTGGCCTGCCAATGGTGAATGAGAGGCATGTTGGTGTGTAACTAGAGATTCTCCCTCCAGAAGAGCCTAATAAAAAAACCAAGGCAATTGGTGGCTAAATGGAGCTGTACATGAGGGCTAGTCTGGGAAAAAACCCATACAAGGCATTTATTCATGGACCACCTTTCTATGTGCACCCCACCTTTACCTCAGATGTGATACAAGTGAGACCCTCCCCCAAATCCCAATTTACTGTGTTCAGCAAGGCAGAGAATCTGGACAGCAGCAAAAAGCCTTTTCTTCTTTCTTATGACAGCTCAATTCATTTTATTCCTTGTCTGAATCAGCCCTTGGACATCAGTCTTCTGCCAGGATAGATTTTCTATCTAGCAACAGGAAGACAATTAACACCTCAGCCAAATGCTTTGGAAAGGTAAGACTGAGACACACATGTGCTACACACACTCAGTTAAAGCACAACCTTGCACCCATCAGAGAAGGCCTTTAGCAGAGTCACCAGAGATGTTAGGCAGAGAATCTTCTGTTCAAGCTCACCAGAAAGGTTTCTGACACCTGCAGAGCCTGAACACCATGTAGGCCTACAACACACATCACCCAGTCTCTAGAATTTGCCCAGGCTGGGCTTAAGGCTGTAAGACTGCTCCCATCCAGCACCAAATGCTCGTCCTGTGCCTCAACCAGGGCCCAGCAAGGTGAAAAACAAGGCAAATCCATTTGAAAGAGTCCTGATAAATAGGAATTAATGTATGAGGCCCTAATCTTGGGGAACTTTCTTCCAATCAAGAAAATAGTTTCTGCACAAGCCAATGCTCTGCTGGTTTTCCTTAGACATAAAATTTACTTTATTTCTTTTCTTAAAAAGTTAAAAATACAGAAGGTTCAGAAAACTGATTTTCTCCCTGCAGATGTTCCAACTGCAGCTCAAGGAGAAAACAATCCTTCACTGAAATGTTGCTCTTAGGTTTGTGTTTTAATTTTTATTGTTTTTCAATCATCACCACCATTAGGACAGAGGTTGAGGTCACCGACTGACTCCCCCCTAATCTGATGACGTAGTTTGATTCCAGATTCACATTTCCAGGTGCCAAGAGTCCAGAAAAGAGCCATGCTAACTTCTGCCTTCGTTTGAGATTATGCTTTATTGAACACAGCAGTGACCGTTGGCATCTTTGAAGCGTAATCGCATCTTAGGCCGGTATTTTTCAAGGTAAAGCAGCTGTTTGGAATTGAAAGCTCCCCTCCTTTTCCTAAAACAAAGAGAATGAAGGCTAGTATCAATGGAAAAAGTACTGCTTCAATCTCCACACCCCCCAAGGCAGAGCAGTCCTCAGTTCAAAGCCTTCCTGTAGCTACAAACCAGTATTTCTGGCTCAGTTCTGTATCCACTGACTCTTTGAGGAGGGATAAACCAGGCCAGTTCATCACCTACATGTCAATATTAAAATCCTGGTAGCAAATTTCAGCCTGTTTTCTTGGATTCGAGAGTTTATTTCCATCACCAGCAGCAGTCACTGAACAACATCGACATTACTCTTTCCTTGCACAGGCATGTGCTACTTATATTAGCTTAGCAAGACCATGACATTCAGTTACAAACATGTAAGAGAGTTTAAGGAAAGAGCTTCTTGGGATAAATGTACCGTCCCCAGGACAAGAAAAAGGGAATTTAAGGAAAATCTCTCAATGGCAATACAGTTCACAAAGGGAACTGAGGACCCTGGGAGTCTGTAAAAGGATGAGCTGCTTCTTTGGCAAAGCTCGTTCGACGTAAATCGCACCTGCTGGGCTTCATTTCAAGAAGTGATGTTATCACTAAACCAGCAGAGCTCTGCAGTCCCATCCTTCACCACATTTATGTTTCCAGACATTTCCTGGGTGGGTTACACTCCCCACAGCACATGCAGGAGTGCTGGTGCTCACATGCTGGCCCACCTACACTACCATTTGTGTCAATTTCATTAGAAGCAACTAGTCCATGGTCACGTCATCCACCATTTTTACGGCCCCAGTCTAGATATTTTTTCCTCCCAGGTTCAAAATCTTTGAGTCTCAAGTCAATGGCTAATAAATAAGCCCAGGTTTAAAATATATACATAATAATAATAATACCAATAAAAGAGAGGGAGAGAGAAACCATGTTTTAATCCTCATTTCTAAATAGAGGAAAGGGCACAAGCCTCAATATTCACATCAAAGTCTTGCCCATCATGTCAGGATACAAGTACTAGAAATCGAATCAGAAATCTAATGAGTTCTGCTGCAGATGCTGTTCGAGTACAACGTAAATGAGAGATTTCCTGAGCAAAGGGAAGTTTAACTTACTGCCTTATAAACTGAACTGCATCTTCGTACTTCATTCCACATTCAATGAGAGCAAGTGCAACCAGTACAGGAGCCCTAAAGGAGAGGAATCAGTATTTTAGGAAGATCTACAGAAACAATATACTGAACCCCTCAAAATACATCAAGTTCATCTGGAAACAGCTTCAGTACTTTCTCTTTAAGCATTATCTATAGAAAGACATTTGCCTGATGAGTACCTAATGTAAAATTTCTTTTAGTAGACAGCTCCATTTCCTCCTAGCCCACAGGATAAACAGAACATTCAGAGGTTACATCTGGGAATATGAATTTAGCATTGAGTTCTCCTGATTCAGTCTTTTTAAATTATTACTTCATCTTGACAGGAAGTTCTTTGCAAAGAAGGAAGTTGGGTGGCGAGGACAGAAACATCAGTCCTCATGTGAGCAAGAAACAGAAGCCTAACTCCTCCTGAAACCGAAGTGAAGCCACTTTAGAGTAAGAAAGTCATTGAACAAGTTTTTCTAAATGCTTTTTTTTTATTCCCACATCCTTAATAGTGCACCAGTTGAAAAGGAGGAAATTAAAACGGTACAGCCTTAGAAACTGTACCACACGTGTACACTGCACTTGTCAAGAAGCACAAGAGATTTTCAGCAGAAAGACACCTTCAAATGAATAGCACCTCCGACTGCTTGTGTCATTCCTGACTGACAGGAGTGCTCTCAACAACCCCACAAAGTTTTTCCTTTCATCCTTGATAAGAGTTATGAAACTACTCAAGATTAAGTTGCAGTAAGTCTCTCTTGCTTTAATGGCACAAACTTGCTTTAAAGTGTTACTTGTGAGAAAACAGAGGAATTGGCACTTACTTAACACCTTCCCTGACCTTCCAGACAAAGGAACTGACTTTTAAGCCCAGTGACACCAACCTTCCCAACCCTGCAACACAGTGAACAGCAATACAGCAGCCAGGCTCCTCACGGAATTTAGATTTCAAAAGGTTGAGCCAGTCATCAACTATTTGATTGGGGGGTGGTGCTCCATCATCGAATGGCCAGTCCTTTAAAGGAAAGAAAAAGGCATTAGTGACATGGATTTCAAGCCACAGTCAACAGCAAGGTAACTGGAACCGGGAGAAGGAAAATACTGCATCAGCAAGAAGTGTACAAACAGATCTACTTTTCTGGCTGCACAGAAGCTGGCAAATCAATATCATAATGCAACACTAAATGTTTAACAACCATTTAACTGCACTTTTTAATAACATTTCAATAAAACTCTATACCAACTCCTGTGTGGTTTAGAGTTTTTAGAAAAACAGCTGCCTTGGAAATCCATTTTATTAAAAATACGTAAAAATCAAGACATTTCAAACAAGCATTTGAAAGATGAGAACTCTGTAGACTTTTGCCTGTGGTTCTGTCAACCTTTTAAGGTGCTATTTGTACTTCAGACTGTACAGAGAAGCTACTTCCTAACAATTCGAGACAATCAGCAGAGAAGGTTCTTCATAATAATTCAAATGGATCAGCTTGTCCAGCTGCCATGAATCCAGTCAGCAAGACCGTTCGAGTCCAAACCCCCCAGTCCATTCACAAGAAGAGTGCTCAGACAGCAGCCAAGTCAACAACCAAGCAGCATTTACAGTTAATTTTCTGCCTACTAAAGAGGCAGCCAGCATTTCACTACCCAGATCAATCTGATATCATCACCATGCCTGTCAATCAAAATTACATGTCAGAAGCTTCCCATTTCCCTGAAGTCACAGCTCTCTCCTGGAACTTGTGCTAAATGCAGTACTACATGTCCTACATTTCAGGACCATCATGTGCTTTATAATCTCAAGACAACAGGGAATGCTGCAGAAAGAGCACTCCTAGATGCAAGGGGAAAAATAACACTTAGTAGTTATTTAGCACTTTTCATTAGACTGCAATGCATTTTACAAGACAGACTCATAGCCAGAGCTTTGTATTATTCAGCCATGTCTCCAAATGGCAGGGAAATGGCTTTGAAAGGAGCCATCTTCTTCCCCCACTGGCTAGAAACAGGTCTTTCATGTAGTTTCTTGAGAACAGCTTAATATGAAGTAATGTCCTCTGAAGCCTTAAAGAAGCACACAGAAACTCTGAACAAGTACAACCGAAGGTAAAAAACTCCACCAGGCTTTCACTTTTGAAATGCAATTACTGCTACCCTGATACTTCCTGATCAGCAAATACAACTTGGCACAGCCCTCCACCCGAGAGCACCTGAGCAATGTGCTGGCACTTACAAAAGCTGCAAGGTGGAAATTGTGTCTTGAACTACCAAACCAAAAGGCTTTAAGTTACTGAAATAGCATTTTATGTGATGAATGCAGAAAGATATACAAAGGCTGAAGAGCAGAGAACTCCTTTTCTAAGGCAAATGAGGAATTAAAAGTATCTGGGACAACAAGGCTATAGAAATAAGATCATAAAGTGAAATTTGCTCTTTCTAATTAAAAGCTTTCACCAGATTTTCTACTCCATCACACACTGCTAGCTCTATTATTTTAGACCTAGTGTCATGCACTGTCCCAGGAAGAGAAGTATGGGCTGCCAAGAGAAGAGGCATTGTCCACTGCAAGGTGCTTTCTTCTGAAACTGCCTTGTAAAGAACAGGATTTGCATGTCAGTTCTGCGTCCTGGCTTTATATTAAATTAAACCCTTTCCTTCAGACCAAACACAGGAGCTTATTACACTGCTTGAGCTCATATATTAAACATCATATCCACACAGCTCTTATGCTGGCCCGAATTAATCACAACCCCACAGAAGCATCGCCTTTCCCAGGAACGATACAGCTCTGACACTGAACTGGCACTGATAAAACCCTGCCCGGGACAAGGAACAAGAGCACTTCTGGGAATGGAGGAGCAATTGCAGCGAAGTTTTGCAGGTTTTTTCCTGCTAGCATCATCTCCGAGCTTGTGTCGGACAGGATAAAACCCAACTGCTAAGCCCCACAACCAAACCAGTCATTTAATAACCAGGATGGTGCACTGAGATTGCACGGAAAATACAGCTCCTCTGTGCCACTCTGCAGGATCTGGGAAGGATGATAGGAAAGGGGTTATTCTCATCTATCCTTTAGCTGGAGCAGCCTTGCTTAGCAGAACAGTTGAGTTTGTCAGCTGGCAATGACTGCAGGATTGGCAACGCAGACTTGAGATGACCAAGAAGCAGTAACAGGACTTTAAGGTGACAAGAACCCCATGTTCAAAACCCACATGAAGGACTGAGAGAAGAACAATGGTATGTGTCTTAGATCCTGAAGATGAACAAACCCCCTGCAGCCTCCTCAGCTGCCAGCCAGTGCAAACATACTTCCAGAAACCCACCAGTTTTTGTGATGTAACATTTCTGTTACAAGACCTGATGCATGAACGTAAGAACCGCAGAAGCCCACAGAAACTAAATCCATCCCCGCCTCCTGCCTCCTGAATTTAATCTCTGTTGATAAACACATGCATGTAATAGTACTACTTCAAACACAGAACATCCAATTCTCTACTTTCTCACTATGCCATCTGCCAAAGCAGCTCCGGAGCTGCCACGTTCTACCCAGCCTGCCAATGCACACTGCTCTCATGGCCTGAGAGCAGGCTCTGCTCAAGTGCTCTCATTTTGAGAGGTTTTACTATGCTTTTGACCTCAACAGTTTTAAAATAGACAGTAATCTCTGGCAGGCTGTTTTTAATCTTAATGTTATTTTTGCAAGCAAATATTAGCTTTAAATAGTGACGTGTTATTTTCTCAGCCAGCTGGTAATTCAATACCAGTTCTGAACAGCAACAGGACTCTGCTTTGTAGAAGGAAATGCTCCTAGGAAGGCAAAGCTGGTCATGCCAGTGACTAGTTAAGCTTATCTGAAATAGAAAACACTACTGCAATACAGTGAATTACTAAGACAACCCCATGACTAGGATCATCAGGATCAGGGATGACATTAGCAGCAAACCTTGCCTGTCACCTCCTGTTTTCTGTTATCCTTAACAGATGCCTGGTGGATTTATGCTCTCTCCTGTTTGTCCTTCTGCAGCTTTGGAACACTAGGAACTGGTATGTACCCAATGCAGAGAGGCTTGTTAGCCGAGACAAATGTGTACAGACCCAAGACTCTCATGTGCGTTACTTGAAGTGAAAGATTCTCTTAGCAGAGCTGCAGAAAAAACAGTTCCACTTTTTAGAAAAGCTTCCTCAAAAACCTGCTTTCAGTTCAAACCAAGCCAACACCAAGTTCCCAAAGTTTCCTGAGAACCAAACTCCCCAAAGTATTTCAGAAGCCGAGGCTGCAGAGCACAGGGTGCTTCCAGCTCTCGCAGCTGCCCCAGCAGCCATGGATTGCAGGAGGTGGATTTGGCTCCCATGTGCAGAGGCCAAGGCCAACTGGCCTCACAGGGCAGAGGAAACCTGCAAAACTGTCCCAAGTCTTCTAGGAGGAACTCAGCTCTTACTCTAGCACAGGAACACAAACTTAAACCCCAGCTTAAATCAGGGTTCCAAGGGCTTTGACACCAGAAGTTTAATCCTTACAGCCTCTGGCAACCACAGAAGTATCACAGCTGGAAGCTTCACCGCAGTGTGATGATAACACTGGCATGGCCAGTCCAAGTCAGCTCCAGAGAGAACAAAAAGGCCCTGGGAGCATGGCTAACCCTGTAATGACTGATTTTTCCAACAACATTGAGGCACACGTGGCTGCCTGGAACTGGAGTAAATGCTTACCAAGGCCAGAAGCCAAGAAACCTGACAGACCTGTACGGGGAGTGTTCACAGATATGCCAGGATACAAGTTCTCCTCCTGATGGTAAACTGCAAAGTTTTTCTCCACCTGAGCCATAAAAATCAAGGGGTAATGGAAGGCTGACTACCTGCACCAAGAAGGTAAGATGCAATTTCTGGCCTCAAAAGAGAGTATTATTCAATCCAGTAAAATAAACTGATTATATCTGACACAATGTAATGATTCAGAAGTACTGCCTGGAAAAATACAGCCTGCAAGCTTTGTGTGAGCACACACCTACTAAAACAACCTCCCCATAATCACCGAGCAACACCAGACCATACAGTCAGACAGTCACTGCATAATGGTAGCTGCAAGCAGCAGTTACGGAATTCCATCTGCTGAAGAGGGGAGCTACCAGCAGCCAGGCTCCATTCGGAGATGAGCAGCGATGAGACTGTCAATTAACATCCTGCCACAGCCTGTATCAACATGTCAGTAAGTCTCAAAAGGCAGCACTTTCTGAAGGATGGACTTTTATCTGCTCCCTGAGAAGGCCAACAGTAAAGCCAAGAAGCGCTGAAAAGGAGCGAGCTGTACGAACCACAAGGCTGAACACCGGGTTAGTACTGAACTAGTCACTAAAAGGCAATCAAAATATCCCAACAAACCCGGAAGTCCAGGAACAGGCATTTCTACTCCAACTAAAGAGCTCTGGCAATAGTAATAAACAAGCAGTACCTTTTACAAAAGCACAGTGAGCTTCTCAAAACCAGCATTAGCTGATGCTGGGGGTACAGCGCTTTTGGCCAGTCTGAAACGGTCGCAAGTGTTGGCCCAAAGCCCGAGGCATCCCCACCACTTCTGGCCATGGTGGGTTTCGCTTTTAGACAGTTTTAAAAGGCAACTCACTAGAACCTGGATTCCTTCTTTTTCGATGGGAGCTTGATCGTAAGTGGCTTCACAAACTCGCACCAAGGTTCTCACTCCATACTTCTTGAGCTCCTTTAGGGAAAAGGAACACAGGTGAGCACATGACACAGGGACCAACCCAAGCACTTTCCCATCAGCTGCAGAGCTAAACAGAGCCAGCGATGCCACCATTACTGCACAGCTTCAAAGTGACTACACAGGGAAGAAGCAAAGGCCAGTACAGGAAGGGGGGCTATGGCCTGTATGAGGACAAGGGCTACAAATGACAGGAATAAATGTGAAACACTCTGAATCCTCCTTCTCCAGGGAAATGCCAAGGTGGGAAAAAAATTGCACATATAAGAGTCAAATTAAAATAACCACTTATATTGTCCAAGCAGCTGTTTCTTCTCTTTAAATAGAAGCCTGGAACTGTTTGCTTCGGACAGTGTTGACATTTTGAGGCAGGGAGGAACAGAACACACACACCGCCATACTCTAGCCTCCTTGTAATGCACTATAAGTAGCACATTGTGCTAGATAAATAATCAGAAGATCAAACAAAAGCTGTTCCAGTTCACTTTGAAGGTTCATACGGCAAGCAGCATTTCCTCTCATACTTGGAATGAATCACTCTAACTTCTAACAATTAGCAATACTATCTATTCCAGAGTCATCAGGGCTCCTAAAAAAGGAAGACAATCCACATTAACAGGGAATATATATATACAGAGATCAAAAGAATGTGGCTTTCAAAATTAACCACTAATATCTGAGCAGATTCATGGTGAATGGCCGCTGCTGAATGATGGAAGTCAATAGCCACAGTCAGACATCAGTATCAGATGACAGGATCTCTCTGGAATGAAACAGACCTGCATACGCAACATAAAAGTCCTCTAGATATGAGGGCACAAAGATACAGCAAGTTCGCAGTGACACAGAAACACACTGTTCTACCACTCCTCTGATGATACCATCATCGGTCGCTTTTTCAGAAAGCTGAATGTTAGATTTTGCTGTATTTAAGTTCTGATTGTGTCAGTGACAATGTGACCCACTGCCCATTGTAACTGATTCTTCCCAGCACCCAGTCCCAGCAGATGTCGTGTCTCACCGACACCTTCTGGCACCCAAAATCTTCGGCAGTTCTGGATCAGGGCAGTTTGGTAACACAACCTGTGAACTACAGCATGGGTTTAAGTATCATGCTTACCCCTAGTATAAGGGAGAAGAAAGGTCAGAAACCAGTTACAATTCTGTCAACTACTTCAGAAGCCAAAAGATGAGCAATAGACTGATACACTGGAAGCACTGCATTATTTAATGAAAAGTAACATTTAGAACCGCAGAACATGCAGACCTTCAGAAACCAGGCCACGAACAATGGTGAAGGAGGTGCACTCTAAAATTGAAGCTCATTCAGCCTCTTGCGATTAAAGAAATGCGGGACTTTGGAAAAAGCAATCATTTGATTCTCTTCTTATCCCATCAAGAGAATGTGACCAATATATTAAAGATAAAAAACACCTTAAGTTTCAAGTAACATGTAATATACAGCAAAAGCATTGAGCCACAGGTGTGAAGAGTGACTGTCCAGTGCTTCCACAGAACCATAAGCATGCAAGGAAGAAAGAGGATGCTTTATTTGGTTGCCTTACCTCTATGAACCTGTTGAGGGTTGCATTGGTTGGGTTGTGAGTGATCAGGAAACGCATGTTCTCATAAGTGATTTCCACGGGGGCTGGACGGTTCATAATGGCAACTTAAGTGTGTAAGGGGACAAAAGATCGAGGAAAATAACAAAAAAAAAAATAATAATCAATAACCTTGGAAAGGTTTCACAGCAGAAAACATTAAAGAGACCACTAAAATGCCTTGGACTGATGAGAGCTTGCTTCGACGTGTTTGTTCCTTAAAGAAGTTGCTGCTAGAAAAGCTGGTTTGCTTCAGAATCCACTTGAATTCAACTTCGGCCTCAATTGCTGCAGGTGGTATCCTTCAGACTCCAAAAACTCCGACTACATGCAAGACTAGGCAGCCTGTTCTACATTTAGGCACTGGTGAGGCAAAAAAGTAAGGGCGGATTTTCTCTCCACTTTGTTTTCTTGATGCTTAGTTTTGCTAGAGTCAGTAAAAGGAAAATGCTTCCAATGTGCAGAAGATATCCCATATATTTGAGTGTGTCTACTGTGTCCGGAGTCTTCAAGGCAAAGTAATTATGGCACGTGGAAGCCCCTGCACTCGGCTCACTTGTCAGCCAGGATGCTGTGCTGGGCCTGGCAGAATTCTGCCCTCACACTCAGAATCGCCATAAATGTGCAGCGTATGCTCCAACAAAACACCTGAGAGAAAAGAAAGATCAGGTAAGAGGATCCATCGCTTCTACTTCCAGAAGCACCAAACACTGACCCTCCCAGAGAAGCTCGAGTTAGGCTAGAAAAGACTGTTTAAAAACCAAACAAAACCCAATCTTCACTGGACTCCTCATAGTTGCAATCCCAAATATTCTTCGGGCACCGAGACATGGCCCTGTGGTAAGTGCTGCTCCTGGCAGGCACCAAAACCGAGAACAAGGAAACCTTTCTGTGCTCTCTGCAGCCCTTCCCTCCTATGCAGGTGCTTTAAAAGAGGAGAAAATAGCACAAAGCCAAGTACACTCTCCAAAGTGGCTGTTGGTACAGTCATACCTGCTTGGTTTAAGGCCAAACATGCTAAAGATACTGTTGGTATGGCTTATTTTTTTTCTTCTGAGCAAAATAAGCAGCACAAGCAGAAATAAGAGTGTAACTAAAGTGCCACATATTTGAGCTTTTGCTAGCAGATAAATTTCACCCACAGTGCAGTATCCACAAACTCCTACAGAGCAGCAGGGAGACACCCTCCAGAAATCACCAATTCAACAGCAACCAAATGGTCACTTAACAGCAATAACTCTAAGTTATTCTCAGTCTTATCTGTGTTCACAGACTAGGGCATTAAGCCCATGGCAGCTTCCAGTCCTAACACACATGCTTCAAAATACAGATGTTTCAGCAATAAAAGATGGAACCATGCAATTCAACCATGAAGTTTAGGGGGATGAAAAATGGAGCTAAAAGAGCTCATTTAAGTCTGAAACACTAAATAAGCAACATGGCTTTTCACTGCATTTAAAAAGCCAAAGAGTTACTACTGACACTTCAGGGTTTTAAGGAAAAAGTTTTAAATCTGCTGAATCCAATCCAAACTAACAGCCATAAGTCACAAACCTGCAACTCAAGTGGAAAGGTCAATGCTCAGTGAATACCATCAGGGAAACACACACACACATGGAAGTTCACCCCCAAACTTCTGGTGCACTCAACATTTTAATGAGATCCCCACTTGGAAATAGTCAAATTAAGTCCTACAGAATTACCTTTTTCACTGACATCAAGTCAGAACTCACCCAGAGAACAGCAATTATTTCCTTAAAGAACAGCTCCCAGTGCCAAAAAAATCCACGAATTAGGTTGCCAGAGGCAAGAGCAGAGATGCTGTCAATGACCTGACCCGGCCTCAGCATAGCTCGACTGAGTGACTCAAACACACATTTCAAAAATGAATCCAGGAATATTTCAGCAGTGTCATGACTACAGGATTCACTTTCACTCCAGCTGGAAGAACCCCATCTAAGCACATCACATTCAAGTCCCTACACATGTCAATTCTTGCATGTTTGTCACACACATACTGCCCAATACAATACCCAATTTGTCTCCTATACAACACCCAGTCTCAAAGGAAAGGGTTTGTTAAAATCTCTTCCAGCCTGCTATAGCTGTAATGCACCAGGAACAGAATGACCAAAGTCACAGCATCCACATGTGCCCAACACCTGTAAAACTTGATGCAAGGAAGTCTTTCAGGCAAACTCTGGCCTGGTTTCCCCCCTTTGACCACAGCCCAGTCATGCGGCACGTCCTGAGAGTGACCCACGCACCTATGTTACACAACAATCCCAAAACTAACTTTTGAGGACCCAACAAGGTCATTTACATAAAACCAGTGGTCAACAGATCTTGGCATAGGAGATCAGAACTCGGATCCTGCACACAAGAGGCTTACAGCATTACAAAGTACGCTGTCATGAGGGGAAGAGCTGTTGCATCATATTTAAACAAATCCTTTAGACATTCTTCTTTTCAGGACCAATAATTTGGTTGGAAGAGCCTCATGCAGTGCTATTTGCGCTGAGTTGTATCAGCTCAGATCATTACGGTTACACTTCTCCTCCCTCAAGCAAATTAAAGAGGGAATTTCAACCCAATTATTTTAAGTCTTTTGTAAAAATGATTTACTAAGTCATTGAGAAAGGACGCATGGAGATGCCATGTTCCAGTGAATCCAGCATGGCAGGGGGAGGCAGCTACAGTCCTGTGCAGCTGCTCGTGGTCTGACCTTGGCCAAGCCACTTTCAGTAGCTCAGCTCATCCTGCAGAGCAGGAATGATTTACCTTCCCCAAAGGAGCATGACTGAAGTGTTTAATCAGCTAATAGCTAAGGAGTGATTAAAAACAGAGTGCTGTATTTAAGGCTGAAAAACGATTTCCAGAAGGATAAGAAGTTCATGTAGCACACAAGCCTATCTGTAGAAGTTGGGTTACCGATGCATACATCCCTTCCTCCCTTGACTTTTAGCTGCTAACTGTTAAGCTGAAGTTTAAGAAGACAAAACAGGCTCCTCATTAAGAAAATGAAAACCAGGAAAACGCCTGTTGTCTGCAACTTCTGATGTCCCCAAGCAAATACTTTACCATTTCTTCCTCCCTGTGTTAGCAAGCAAATCTGCACTTCAAAACTCCCAAGACAATGGAACACTACCAAACCAACAACAGTAACTCGTAACCAGATCTATGCACAACATAAAACAAGGAATCATTTTTCAGCCAATTAATCTTCAACTTTTTATACTTAGAAAGTGAGACAGCACATGGAGAGAAACCAAAAGATGACACCATGGCTTACGTGGCTGGCCTCAGAAAGGGAGCAGAGGTACCCAACACGTCAACACCATGAATGAGGATCCGGGGAAGGAGAAAAAGCAGAGGCAGCAGGACAAACAAGCCAAGTAACAGCCATACATGCATCTGAAAAGAACTAAATATGCTTGGGAGCCACCTCATGATGTTGTTCAACTTAATTATAGGGAATCATCATCAATGAAGATGTGCATCTATACAATAGAGTTTAGCAAGCTGTGCCAGTGCACCTACAGCCAGGACTAAGTGTGGTGAGCTCCCCACCTCATGCTCACACACAGCCACACACACCAAGAGAGCTTGGTGAAGCCTAAGGAGGGCAATTTGAGAAGAATGTATTTCAAATTACTATGAACATGCAAGAATATGCTTAAAACATGAGCAGGGGGCAGTGTATTAACCAGCATAAATAAACTAGGGTGATTAACTAATTAAGAGAACAGGTAAATGAATTCTTGACTGGATAGAAGCTCCACCTGAGATTGCCTTAAGTAAAATCCCTACACCACTTACCTCCAGTGCCTGCCGCCTCAGTCATTACACTGACGCCTCAACTAGATGCTTCAACAGGGCAAGCTGATCTTCCCTATTGAGCTCATGCAAAGCAGGGAGACAGAGCTAATGAAAAACACTAACATCATCAGGAATTCCCAGTTCCACCATCTCCTTCAGAAGACACTGGCAGAAGCACTGCTTTAGCTACACCGAGGCAGCAAAGAGCCTGCAACAGCTGCAGCTTCCAGAGCTCGCAGAACATGGGCACCTGTGGAAAGGTCACCTGGATCACCTTTCAAAACAACCCAGCAACAGGATGTGCAGCAGAGCCTGCTAATTTGTCAGCCTGCAGTGAAGAACACTGCTATGTTCTGGAGACCACTAGTTTCAAATCATCTCAGCTGGTTTTGTTCCTGGAAGTGGGAATCCATGTTTGATGTTAACAGTCAGGTCATGAGCTGCGTCATTCTCCTCTTCTATAAACCTCATTCTTGGGCTTTGCATTTCCACATGTGCAGTCAGCGCCACAGCACGCTGAGGGCACCCAGCTGATCCCATAAAAATTCCCACCTATATGAGGTTGCAGCCAGCCAGGCTTTTCCCAACACTCTGTGTATGTCAGATTTCACCTCCCCTTCCTGTGCTGCCCCATTAAGTGACCCACATTCTGTCCATACACCCTTAAAATGTCCTCTTTCATCTGGGTGCTTCTCAAGTGAAAGAATTCACTGAGTCCTCCAAAATGAGCCTTAAACAAGCAGAAACACACGTTAGCAAGAACCAAAGCAACTGGCGTTCTTGGAAGGAGTTTCTGAACGCTCTCTGAAGGAAGCTTGCTCGGAATGACACGTGCCTAGAGAGGGGTGAGGTCAAAACTTTTACTGTCCCACCCTCCCCTCCCAGCCTGCGGACAAGCTCCGAGGGTGACTCACGCGCTTCCTTTCACACCAACCCTGGCCAAGGCTGTAAAACCCACCCGTGAAAGCCACAGCAGCACAGAGAGATCTGCCTTAGCAAGAGAGGGAAAAGAAGTACAGATCAAATAACTCAAAAGTGACACACGAAGAAACAGAAAGAACCGTCGAGTGTACTGTGCAAGACCACTCAGGGAGAGAAGAATCCTGTAGCACAACTCAGTTCTGAGTACTACACAGGAAAGGTTTAACTGCCATCCCTAAATTTGAGTGAGGTCAAACCACAACATCCAACACAGGAGTGGATGCACAGAGACTGTCACCATGAGAGCTGGGAGCGGGAAGCGATGAGGCACCACCTGAGCTTTTCCCGAGAGGCCCAACAGGCACATGTGCTCTGTGCTTCAAAGCTTTTCTTTCTGGAGAGGGGCTTTGGACAAGGGATGGATGTCCTTAACCTGACAGAAGGAGATTGAGATGAGCTCTTGGGCAGAAGCTCTTCCCTGTGAGGGTGCTGAGGCGCTGGCACAGGGTGCCCAGAGAAGCTGTGGCTGCCCCATGGCCAGGTGGGACACAGGGGCTTGGAGCAACCTGCTCTAGTGGAAGGCGTCCCTGCCTGTGGCAGGGGGCTGGAACTGGATGAGCCTTAAGGTCCCTTCCAACACAAACCAGACTGGGATTCTGTGATTCCTTCCTGCACAATAGAAGCTGCTTCATCATGAAAAATCCTGTTTTGACACAGGCACTTTTGAACACTTTTCCCACCCGCCATTTGCTTTCTAAAAATCCTTCAGAAGACACATATGAATGCTATTTACATGCCATGCCCCCAAAAGTTTAAAGTTACTAAAAGTCTTTGAAAGTCAAAACCAAAAAGCCCTGCTAAGAAAAAGAAACTTAAGCTGTTATCCCATTTAACACACAGAACTGTAC